TTCAAAAAATTTTTTGAAACCCACCACTGCTTCTCACCAAAGATGGTCCCTATTTTTCTACTTGCATTATGTGCTTTCAAACTGCTAGGTCGGCATAAGCTGGGACAAGTAACAGGAGCTCACTCCGCTACACGGCACTAGGGATTCGAACCGCCGAATTGCCGAGCCTTCTGATCGACAAGCTCAGCGCCTTGGCCACTGAGGCACCCTTTGGCATATAATAAGGGGGATTAAAAGCAGTGACACCTGAAGGGCCACAGTTTCTTCACTCTGGTAGATCAGGCAGCTTGTTTTAATGCTTGAAGCCTGAACAAAACACTCTCCCCCTTCTTCTCTCTATGTGAAGCCATGTGCAGCATATGGGTTGCAGCATACGATGGGGAAACCAGAGCTGCTCCTGGCTGCAGGAGCATTTGGCAGCAAACTACTTCTGTGTTTTCATTTTGATCCTTACCACAGGAAAAAGAGAAACATGTTCTCTCCACTTAAAGGGAATCCAATTCTCTTTGTTTGCATGCCTCAACAAAATCCGCCCTTGAAAAATTCTGTCCACCCCATCGTCTGAGCATAAAGCATGTGCTCTGCGCAAGCCTAAACAGATTGGGAAGAGACACAACAGACGCAAGGAACAGCAGGCATACTGGCTGCACCGACAGCCTTCCCACGTATACCCCAGCTGGGTATACTCACACATTATGGGCAGAGCGATGAAAATCAAGAAGGTGGCCGAGCCTTCGAAAAGGGACACCAGGAAATACGCAGCGCCAAGGATGGCAAAGAAGCAGGTGCCAGGGTAATTCCGCCGGAAGCGTCGCACGGGGGGCTTGTTCTCAGCTGCCCAGACGAAACCTCCAAACAGCAGGCATACGAGTAGGCAGCTTAGCAGGATCAGCATGGGTTGGAAGTACCTGCAGAACGACACACACACCCCAAGTCAGTCTTCATTTCAGCCCGTATGGAGATGCCATATCCAATCCCGATGTGCATTCAATTCAGTGGGCGGCCCACTCTGAAGCCCTTCTGTAGCTGCTGATGGTTTGAGGTCTCCTAAACACCTGGAGTGAGGGAGACGGGTGAGGAGCATAGTTAGGGGTCTGGATATCTCTCAGCTGAGAGCCCCTCTAGTGCAGGGGTGTCAAACTTGATTACAACGAGGGCCGCATCAAGGTTGTGTTCAGAGGTGTGTTTCTACCGGTT